CTTTGAACTTGTAAGCCTCCTGTCTCAATCTCCTGAGTGCTGGGATTATAAGTGTGTGCCGCCACACTGGGTCACATTAATACACGAGATTGTACAACTGCCTCTACCATCCATCTCCAGAACTTTCCACCTTCCCCAAATGAAACTCTGCCCTCATTAAACACTAACTGCCCTCCCCTCCCCACCCCCTGGCACCCACCATCCTTCTTCCTTTCTCTGGGGACTTCCTGGGAGTGGCGCCCTGCAGTGTATGTCCTTCTGTGTCTGCTCATTTCACAAGGCAGTGTGTTCAAGGCCAGTCCATGTGCAGACCGACCACGAGGTGTGTTCATTCAGGGCTGTTTTTGTGTTCAGTGGCTGTGGATTGCATGGTCTTTCTTTCTTTCTTTTTTTTATTCATATGTGCATACATTGTTTGGGCCATTTCTCCCCCTGTGCATGGTTTTTCATGTAATGTGTGTTCCTGGGTCTTGGGCAGATTTCCAAGGGGGTTGCTACTGTCAACACCTGGCACCTGGCCAATGAGGGCCCCACCCTCTCGTTCCCTACCCCATCCCCAGAAATTAAAGGGTGGACCGCAGGCTAGGCAGGGGCCTCCCTCTGAGCTGAGCCCTTCCTATGTCCATCCTGACTGTCCTCACTCTGCAGGACGGTTGTGAAGTGGTTCCAGCCCCTCAGCTCTCCCGCCAGGCCCTCTTCTCTGAGTCCCCCTGCCCAGCCTTTGCCCAGAGGCTAGCAACCTGGGCTGCCTGCCCACCCCTCACAGGGGCTCAGTTTTCACCCTGGGGTGGCTGTCAGCCTCTCCTCACTCTTGGGCCCCGGAAGATGAGCAAGTTTTGATTTTTTAGGGGGTCCCAGAGGCTACTGCAGGAGAGCCCCAGGTAGCTGTGGGTTATAAGGGCAGTGAGTAGGGCTATGGAGCCACACAAGTGAGCCGCACAGACGGCACATTGTCATCTTGGGTCACTTCCTCACCCCTCTGGGGCCTGGCTGCTACAGAGGTGAGGCCTGTTGGGCCACTGTACGGGGAGCAGAGGAGGGGCCTGGGAAATCTGTGACATCTGAGGACAGGGGCTGCCCATACTAGGAGCCACATCCTTCAGTCTGTGCAGATAGGGAAACTGAGGCTGGCAGGGGCACAGGCCTTCCCCATGGTCCCAGAGTCCTAAGCTGTGGGTCTGTGGCCTGATATTCTGCCAGTAGGCCCTGCTGCCATGTGGGTGGCTGAGTCACCCTGGGGTGGGGGTGGGGGCCTGAAGTGCAGGTGGCCGTGGGTGTGTCCCTCCAGGGCTCAGCCCTCCCAAGGTACCTATGCAGACTTGAGGGGCCCAGTCCCCCCAGGGGCAGCTCTGGAGTCTCCCCTGCCCCCCCAACCCCAAGCAGGGTAGAAACCCGAGCCTGCGCTGCAGGGCCAGGCCCCGTGGGCCTGAGCCTCTCCCGCCACAGCCGCCACCTTCCTGCTTCTGTAGCCAGAGCCACCACCGTTGCCACAGGGACGGTGGAACAGGTAGGGCCTGTGTGCCTGACCCACCTGGCCTGTTGCTCCAGGTGCAGCCGGGTCGGCCCACCTGGTCAGCTGCGAGGCGGCGGCAGTTAGGGGACCAGGAGAAGGGAGGCGCCTGGCGGTTTGGTTTCACTTTGAGCCGGGCTGTCCCCGTCCGGTTGTCGCGCCCACCCGCAGCGACCAGGCTTTCTGGGAAATGCTGTTGCGCTTCCTCTGAACTCGGCTGAGCCACGAGCCTGGGCTGCGCTCCGCCTCCAGCACCCGGCTTCCTGCTGGCCACGCACCTCTGCCCAAGGTGCCCCCTCCAGTGTCCCAGGCTCTGGACACAGGAAACCCCGTGGCCTTGGGAAGCGCTGTCCCTAATTGGGGGAGGGGTCCTCTTCCCTCTGGGGTGGACGTCCTGGGCCCTCCAGGGTGCTGAACAGCGTCCTTGGCTTCCACCCACTCCATGCCAGGAGCTTCTCCAGTCGTGAAAGTCACGGATGCCCCCAGATATCGCCTAGGGTCCCCTATGGGTGTGGGGTGGTCAGAATTGTCTCCACTGAGACCCACTCAGTGGGTTCACAATGACAGCAGGGAGGGACAGCTTCATCAGGAATGACTTCGATCTTAGATTCCTGTGGTCCCATCCAGCATTCAAGACCAAATTCCAGGCTTTGCATCAAAATGAAAATGTAAAAATGTGAAATGCCTCGCTGACACCTGTCCAACTGATGGCTTCATACTGTTGCTGTATTTTGGCTCTGTGGTTAAGTAGAATTTATCATCCATTGCAGGCCACCGTTCCTCGGTTCCCAATGGGGGTGGGGAGCTGGAAATTTAGTGGCATCCAAAACGCAAGGATGGGGCCACGTAGATGCTTCCTGGTAGATGCTTTCCGGAATCGCTCATCCTGCCAGCAACAGCGTCAGGTTTTGTGAACCTATTGTATTTATTTGTGGTGCTGGGGCTGGGGCTGGAACCCAAGCACCTGGTGCTCGGGAGGAAGCGCTCCCCACTGAGCTGCGGCCCAGCATTTTTTTCACCTGTCCCAATCTGGAGCGCTCATTCAGGTGTTGGGCTGAGGCTGCGCCCAGGAGCCTCACCCAGCGGAATTCACCAGGGTGCAGTGGGCAGGCCGCCACCCATGAACCCCAGTTAATAGAGTCGGTATTTGGGGATAAGGGTGTAGCTCAGTGGTGCTTGCCTAGAGTGCGAGGCACTGGATTCATTCCCCAGCACTACAAATAAATAATTCATTAAAGAAGTAAAAAAAAAAAAAACCACCCAAACAAACTCCAAGTCTTGGGCTGTTGTAGAGCGTCTGCCTGGCAAGCATGAGGCCCTGGGTTCAAGCCCAGTACCACCTAATAGAAATATGCAGGCACACACCACCAAAAATCAACAAAACAAAACAAAACAAAAAACCTAGGTCTCAATAAATGAAATATTTAGGCAAATCCTGCACTGCTGGCCAGCTGGGGCTGTGGAAGTCTGAGGCGATTTAATCGTGCTGGTGACGAGCTGGTGACTCGCTCCACAGCCACTGGGTAGAAGGGAGAGGAGCACTCTGGGGACCTGGTCACAGAAAAGCGCTGTTTTCTTAGGAGGAAAATGCTAAGGTGGAAAGAGCTTGCACTGACAAAATGCTCCATAGCTTCTTTCTGCAAAACTAGCATCAAAAGGGAGAAAAAGCCAGTGTGGTGGCCATCCCTGTCATTGCAGCACTCAGGCTGGCCTCCATGTTCAGACACTGTCTCAAAACCACATAGAGCAAAGAATGTGAGGAAACAAGCCAAAATACCCAAAATGTGAGATTCTATGTCTCCAGTGTGAGACTCCTTATTATTTTTGGGACACTGGGGTTTTGAACGCGAGTGTTTGGCTCGCTAGGCAGGTGCTCCGCTGCTTGAGCCGTATCTCCAACCCTTTTTGCATTAGTTTGCTTTTCATAGAGACTTGTGTTTATGCTCAGCTGGTGTCAAGGTGAGATCTCCTATGTAGGTAGCTGGGATGACAGGTGAGCACCACCGTGCCCGGCTATTAGTTGAGATGGGGTTTCAATCATGTATTTGCCACAGCTGGCCTCAAACCACAACCCTTCACATCTCCACCTCCTCAGTAACTAGGATCACAAGAATGAGCCACCGTGCCTGGCTTGATTTTTTTTTTATTTTTTAAGGGGAGACAAAAGGGTCACACAGAGATGCTGGAGTCATTCACACACATCATCTGTTACCTCTTACCTTTTCTGGGTGCTGGGGATAAACCCTGGCCTCATGCCCATTAGTCAAGAGGTCATCAGTGAGTTGCACCCCAGCTGCCTTACTCTCTTTAAAGAACCACCATAAAGCCAGGCGCTGGTGGTTCACACCTGTAATCCTAGCTACTCGGGTGGCAGAGATCAGGATTGTGGTTCGAAGTCAGCCTGGGCAAATAGCTCATGAGACCCTGTCTCAAAAAAAAAAAAAAAAAAAATCACAAAAAAGGGCCGTTGGAGTGGTAGAGCACCTGCCTAGCGAGTCTGAGGTCCTGAGTTCAAACCTCAGTGCTACCAAAAAATAAAGAATGAATAATTTTGAAACCCCTCAGGGCTGTCACTTCAGCACAGGGGGAAGGGTCATAGCCTCTAAGCACCCTATGGCCTGGCTGGCCTGGATGTCTGGTGCCTCCAAACCAACTGCCATAGCAAGATTCACCACAGAGCTGGCCAGCCACCCCAGAGATACTTGTGACCAGGACTGCGAGGCTCTTTGGCCAGTCAGGGGCGGGGGGGGGGGGGTCCAGGTTGATGGCCACCTTTGGCTCCCTTTTGGTTAGAGGGTGGCTGAGCCCAGGATGTCGCTAGGGAATGAGGGCTGGGTTGGGGAGACATTTGGAGACTGCAGAACAGTGCAGACACCAGGCTCTGATTGGAGTGGGAAGACAGGAAGGTCAGGGCTCCTTGCTCATCCTTTCCTCAGGCACTTCTGGATAACCAGAGGGACTCATTTTTTTTTCGGCAGTACCGGGGTTTAAACTCAGGGCCTCATGGTTGCCAGGCAGGCAGTCTACCACTTGAGTCAGTCCTGTATTGTGTTGGGTATTTTTGAGATAGGGTCTTGTGAACTATTTTCCTAGGCTTGGCCTCTAACAATGATCCTCGTGATGTCTGCCTCTGGAGTAGCTAGGATTAAGGAATGAACCACTGGTGCCCGGCTACAGCAGGACTCTTCACACCAACAGGAAGGAGGCATGGAGGAGTCCCCCAGGGAGTGTGGTCTTTCACTCCTGGCATTCAGGGGAAGTGGTCACCAGGGCCCTGAGGTCCATGACCAACCTGAAAGGACCTGCCTGGGTTGGGCAGTGTGTTGGCTCTTTGTCCAAAGTGGTGGGTGGGGATCAGTACCCATGTGTCCGACTGTCCCTCCCAGCATGCTCCTGAGGGGTCCTGGTCACGCATAGGGCAGCACCTTCAAGACTTCCGAAAACCTAAAAGTTTGTTACTTTTTTTTTAATTATGTGAAACATTGGCGGGTGGGGATGGGGGGATATGAAGTGACAGGAACCTGGAAAAGTGTCTGGAGCAGGCATTAACCTGTCTCCTCCAGCGTCTGCTGAGAAAAGGTTCCAGGAGACTGGAAGGGCCTCCCTACAAAAGCAAGGACGATGCACCAGTTCCCAGAAGACCACAACTGGCCTTCTGCAGTCCCAGGGCAGCAACCCCTGCCCTCCCACAGGGCACAGCGATCAGCATCAGCTGGCTTCCAGTGTCAGGAAGTGCTGAGGGGGTGGCTTGCCTCAGCATCCTCAGGGCCAGGGGTGGGAGTCTTATACTGCCTGGCCCTCTGGCCACTTGCAGCCCACAGGTGGTGAAACAGTCCTGAAGTTTGAAGGCTGGGCCTCGGGTCTTGGGCTACATGAGGAGCACATAGCAGGATGTGCTGGGAACCCCAAAGGCAGGTGCCGGGGAACTAGGACAGACCTCACTCGCTCTCACTCGCAGCCAACTGTGGCTGAGAGGTTCAGGGAGTGATACGCCTGGGTGGTAGCTTCTGATTGGCAGGCTGGGCGGAGGTGACAGAGCAACCCACCACATCTGTAGGGCTTGCTGCAAGTGTGGGGGACGCACGCCTTATCTACTGGATCTGCCGGGGTTTTCAACCACACTGAGCATGGAAACCCAAGACTTCCTTTCTGCAGAGCTGCGTCAGCTCAGGAGTCAGCAGGGAGGGAGGGGAGGAAGAAGAGTCGGAGCAGATGGGCAAGGTACAGCTCTCCAGTGAGAAAAGCCTGCGCAGGGCCATGCGGCTGCTGCCCTGCCTTTCCTCCCTCCCAGCCTTTGCTGCTTGATGTGCCTTGCCTGGCTGATCGGTGGCCAACCCTCAAGAGAAGTGACAAAGGATCACAGCGCACGGGTTGCTTTTTCTCTCCCTGTTTTGCTTTGTTGTTTAAACCTAAGTAAGCAGGTTCCCCCACATGAGCAGAGAGTCCCCTTCCCCAGAGGCCAGTGCACCTATGGCGGGGACAAGAACACAAATGTTCCTGGGCTGGGGGATGGAGGAGCAGCGCCATCACACCGCGGTGCGCGTGGGTGTGCTAGGTTGCTTCAGCCGCAGGGTCCGGCACAGCCAGCCAGCGAAGTCCACTTCTTCCACCTCAGCCCGCTTGATGAAGGCATGGTTCTGAAAGACAAGGGCAGAAGTGGCATCAGAGGCCATAGGGCAGGTGGCAGAGGGGACAGGAGGGAGGATAAGCTGAAGGCGAGACAGATCTGCCTGAGGCTGGGTTGAGCTGCCCTGTGCCCACTGAGGTTTTAAGCCCCCCCCAGTGCTGTGCATGCTGGGTCACTCCTGGCCACCCACTCCATGCCAGGCACACCCCCAGTCACAACAGCTGCATGTCCCCAGGCACTGCCTAGTCTCCCTGGGGCGAGTCAGTCAGGTGAGGGCCTGATATGCTATCACCTGTCCCACACACCTCTGCAAACTTCTCTGCAGTTTGTCATGGCAGCTGCCTGCCCTGGGACCCCTGAAACACAGCTTAAGGACAAACATGGTGGCTGAGGGGTCACCCTGGAGAGAAGGTGACACCAAGGCTCACCAGGGTGCCACCTGGGACTGAAGGCCCTGCCTCCTGCCACTCCACCAGCCCTTTTTTTGTGATGGGTTTTTTTGATAGGGTTGCACAAACTATTTGCTGGGCAGGCTTTGAACCATGATCCTCATGAGTAGTTAGGATTACAGCCGTGAGCCACTAGCACCCATTTTTCTCTCATTGTTTTTTAAATCAGGGTGTTGCTAAGTAGTCCAGGCTGACCTGGAACTTGTGATCCTCCAGCCTTAGCCTCCCAAGGGCTGGGATTTTGGGCTGAGCCACTAAGCCCCTCCGTATGTCTTTTTACTGTGAACGTGCCTACGTCAAACGTTCACTTAATACCTGTGGAGAAGTGCAGAGCTCTCTGCTGTCAGGCGGTTCATGCTCCTCCCACTTGGAAGGTGAGGTCAGAGCTGAAGTCTGGACTTTCCATTCAGACCACAGCAAAGTCTCTCCCCCATCCCCCACTTTTTCTTTCTTTTTTTTTTTTTTTCAGTACTGGGGCTTGAACTCAGGGCCTATACCTTGAGTCACTCCACTAGCCCTTTTTGTGAAGGGTTATTTCGAGATAAGGTCTTGCAAACTACTTGCCTGGGCTGGCTTTGAACTGTGAGCCTCCTTATCTCTGCCTCCTGAGTAGCAAGGGCACAAGCCACTGGCGCCCAGCCCAATAAAGCTCCTTGACCTAGGACCCAGGTGTCACTGAAACTAACGGGGGTGGAGGTAAAGGTGGGGGTGGGAGGCAGCAATGAGGCAGAGTGGCTGGGGTTTTGTTTGCTTTTGCAGTACTGAGGTTTGAACTCAGGGCCTCACACTTCCTAGTCAGGTGCTCTACCACTTGAACCAGGCTGGGGCCTTCTTGGAGGCACTGAAGCAACCGTGAGCAGCTGCAGCCAGGCACAGGAGAAGCAGGAAAGAGCATGGTGTGCCAAGGTCCTCGGGTGGGGAGGAGATGGGGCAGTGGGCCTGACCCATACGGCCCACCACAGGGCAGGGTCACTTTTCCGCCAAGCCACAACCCAACTGTTCTTACACTTGTTCTCTTTGGGCGTTTGGGATGGAGACTATCTTACACTGTAACTGGCGGGGTTTCCTTCCTTATGAGTACATGAAAGAGCAGCTGTCTGGACAGCGTCACATACTCAGTAGTGTGCTGGTGGACAGGGCCATTCTAAGGCTATGGTTGGGATGTGCCCTAATGGCTACCGTTTCAAGCCACCAGCTGCCCATCCCCATCCCATGGGGAAGGTGAGCTTCAGCAACTGCCGAACTGGAGGGTAGTAAGTGTTATGTCCACACAAAGGACACTCATCACCTCTCAAGCATCTCTTGATCAAGGGTACAGGGCCCAGAAGCCTTGTACCCTTCCAGAGCACACAGAGCACACTGTCTGCTATCCTGGCTTGTTCCCTGGGCTCTGCTGCTAACAGGTAACAGAGACACACAGAGGTCTGTGGCTCCTCCTGTCCCTGCCCACCTGGGCCTATTGGGCCCCTCCAGGGCAGCCTGAGCCCTGGCAACCCAGTGTCCCTTGGCATCACTCACCATGAGCGTCTTCAGATCCGCTCGTTCTGCTGGGTTCTTAATGAGGCTGGGGGACAGGGACAAGAGGAGCAGTTAGTTGTTGGCTCTGGGGGCCCAGCGCTGAGAGCTGTAGCTGAGGGCATGGAGCTCACTTGGCTCTGTTCAGCAGCCTGGCCCCTACTGGGAGGACCAGGGGACCTCAGATCCTGGGCAGGATGTCCCCAGGCAGGGGAGAGGAAAGGCATGATGAGAGGACAAGGTGGGAAGCTCCCCTCCCCCCCACCCTGGGCAGTCAGAAGCCTGGCAGTGACCCAGCTGAATTTCCATTAAGAACGCCAAGGCTGGGGGTCAAAACAGGGCTGTCTCCCTTCAGAAAGCAGAAGCACATGAGTGGCTGGACAGACCAATAGTGCCCGTTGCTACCCGGGCATATCCAGGGGATGATGTCCACTGGGACAGATGAATGGCCTCTGGGGAAGTAGGGTGTCAGCCTCTTCCCTCTGGGCCTCCAGGGGTTAGGACAATCAAGCGGGGTTGGCAACCCCTTCAAAAACCTGCAGCGCAGGCCTGTGGGGCAGTATATGGATGGAGGGAGCTGCTTGACTTAACTGAGCACCTGAAGACCCGGATCCTTTGGGTTTTAGGGTGAGCTGAGCTGGCAGTCTAGAACCACAGCCCAGCCATCTAGCTAGGAGAGGGCCATTCCTTCCTAGGTGGACTCAGGTGTCCCGTCAAGTCCTGTCACCTGACCCACTGGGGTTCCTGACTGGCAGCTGGGCCCAGGACCCAGGAAGCAGCTCATCTGGGTAGTGGCTGGGTGTGGGCCCTCGTCCCGGACAACACCCTTACCATTTATTTACAAACTCCTGGAAGTCTGGGCTGAACACCCCGTTGGGCAGCTTGGGAGGTGGCTGTGGAAGGAACAGAGGATGGGGTCACCCTGTGCAGCCTAAGGACACTTGTCTGCTCTCTCCCATCTGCTGTTCTAGGGGTAACTGCCTTGCTGGAGGCAGGGAGAACATGGGCTCCTTCCACTATGGAAAAAGGAGGCAATCTGCGAGGTCTAGGCCCCTGCCTCCCCAGAGAGTGACAACCCAGAGGGGCATCTGCTCTTCTGGAGTACCCTCCACCCCACTCACACATCCTCTGTCCCTGCAGGTGACTGCTGAGGGCAGAGCCAGGCCTTTCCCACCCCCTGGGGGGAGGCAAGTGGCCTCCTGGGGAGGACGTGCTGGCTGAACCTTGGCAGCACTGCCGGGGCAGAGAGGGCTGTGTCACCAGGCCACCCCACCCTGCTCTGTCATCATTTCACTACCCTACCCGGGGCCAAGCCCAGTGTTGCAGGTGGCTGGCTACCTGGCTCACTGGACACCACTAGGCCACCAAGGGCCCACTGCAGCCTAGGCAGTTGAGGCATGGAGAGCTGACCCCCCCACACACACACATTTTTTTTTGGCAGCACTGGGGTTTGAACTCAGGGCCTCACGCTTGCTAGGCAGGCACTATCTTACCACATGAGCCACTCCACCAGCCCTTTTACTGTGGTGTTTTTTTTCAAGATAGGGTCTAGTGAACAATTTGCCCAGGCTGGCTCTGAACTGCCATCTTCCTGATGTCTGCCTCCTGAGTAGCTAGGATTATAGGCGTGAGTCACCAGAGCCCGGCTGAGGGCTGAGTTCTTATGCTTGTAAAGTGGGACAGCTACTCATCCCTGAAGGGTGGTCATGAGAAGTGGTCCACAGAGAGAAGTAGGAAAAGGGTGCCTGGTGACCCTCAGATCCTTCCAGAGACCTGCTGTGAAGCAGGCTGGGACCCCTTCCCAGAGATCAAGGTGGTATGCACTCCTTCCTCCCACAGGAGGGTGCTGTCTAGCAGCCACAATGATCACACAGCTGCAGAGGTGCCAGGCTAATCCCTGGTCGCACATCTACTGGAACATGGGGAGGGACTGTGCTGGGAATTCTAGATTTGTCCTCATTAAAAAAATTCTTTCATGGCTGGGTGTGGTGGCTCACAGCTGTAATCTCAGCTACTTGTAAGATAGAACTCAGGAGCACTGTGATTCAAGTGGAGTCTAGGCAAAAAGTTAAGAGATCACATTTCAACAAGTAAGCTGAAGATGGTGGCACATGGCTACCAATCTAGCTCACTGAAGGTATAGGTAGGAGGATCACAGTCCAGGTTGGCCCATTTGAAACATGGTACCATACCTAAAAAAAATAACTAAAGCCAAAAGGGCTGCGTGTGTGTGATTCAAATGGCAGAGCACCTGTCTAATAACTATGAGGCCTTGAGTTCAAATTCCAGTACTGTTAAAAAAAAAAAAAACAAAACAAAAGCCAAGGGCTGGTAGCTCACGCCTATAATCCCAGCTACTTAGGAGACAGAGATCAGGAAGATCATGGTTTGGAAGCCAGCCTGGGCAAATAGTTCTAGAGACCCTATCTTGAAAATACGCAACACAAAAAAGGGGTGGCAGAGTGGCTCAAGTGTTTCAGCACTGCCTGGCAAGCATGAGGCTCTGAGTTCAAATACCAGTGCTGCCAAAAAAAAAAAAAAATCAATAAACAAAAACAAACCCTTAGAAAGGGCTTGTGGGAGGAAAGATGATGTCCAATTGTGATACCTTACACCTCGTATTGAAAACAATGGTCCAGAAAAGACCATTCTTTTGAAAAGAATTGGTAATCTCTGCCCAAGTATACAGGAAAACCAAGGAAGCATCTCTGATGGGCTGTGTGGACGGTGGCCTGGCAATTCCCTCACAGAGCAGCCCGAAGACCCTGGCACACACCTCATTCACGATGTAATCCAGCAGCTCAAAGATGGCCATGGCTGGCCGGTTGTCCATCCCGTGACCTATATGGTGGGGTGAGACGACAGGTGACACTAAGCTCCTGGGAGGTGCAGGTCTGAGGGGCTGAGCCTGCCGAACACCCTCATCCCCACTCCAGCCTAGCTATGGCAGGTGCGAGGGGACACGGACAGAGGCCTGGGTCTGGCCATTCACTCTCCCTCATACCCCAGGGGAGGCAGCTCCTTTGGAGCCTCCGGTGAGTCAGAAATGACAGAAACAGCCAAGAGGAGCTCGGGCATTCTCTGAGGAGTCACATACTTGACGAGGCGGTGCTTCTGGGCTGTGCCAAAGTCACAACTCAGCTCTGGCACACTAGGCTGGCAGGGGTGGAGGCTGACCACCAGCAAGGAAGGACAGCAGTGTGACCTTGCATAGAGTTGGCTGGTGGTGACGTGGCAGGCCTCAGATGCCACCTGGCAGGGGATGCTGGTGGGGGTGACCGACCCCTGCCCAGGACCCAGCTGGTCAGGCCGGTCTGGCAGCTGGACCTTCATCTCTTGCATGTCCTGGCACGGGTGGGGGAGGCACAGGCCAGAGAGGTGTCCTGGCACACCCCCATCAGTCCTCACCACAGGACGAAGCCTGGGCACCATCTGGGAAGGGCCGGGAGGGGCTAGAGCCTGCCTGAGGACAAAGACCTGGTAAGCCTCCCCTGGGACACCGTCAGGACAAGCATGCCGCCTGCGCAGCACAGGATGGGGTGATGGACACACAGACACAGTGAGGCTGTTCATGTTCACGTTGTAAGAGCACTCAGCTGAGCAGGAGGCTCTGTCCCACATCACAACATGGAGGGACCGTGAGGACATGGTGCTTAGTAAAAAGCAGACACAAAAGACTCCACAGTGTGACTCCATTGATAGAAAACATCCAGAACAGGAGGATCCAGAGGCAGGAAGTGGACTCATGGGCTAGACAGGGAACAGGGCTTCCTTTTGGGGTGGGGGAGTGTTCTGGAATTCGGCAGTGTGATGGCCGCACAGCTCTGTGAATGCATACTAAAATGCACTGAACTCTGTCAATAAAGTAGTTTCAGGCTAGCGGTGTGGCGGCTCTGCTGTAATCCTAGTCACTTAGGAGGAGAGATCAGGAGGATGGAAGTTCAAAGCCAGCCCAGGCAAGTAGTTTGAGACCCTGTCTCAAAAAAACCCATCTCAAAAACAGGTCTGGTGGAGTGGCTCAAGCAGTAAGAGCGACTGCCTAGCAAGCATGAGGCCCTGAACCGAAATCCCAGTACTGCCAAAAAAAAAAAAAGTTCTAATTGGAAGGCTGAGATCAGGAGGGTTACAATTTGAAGCCAGTCCAAGCAAATAGTTCTCAAAGACCCCATTTCCAAAGTAACCAAAGCAAAATGGGCCAGAGGTGTGGATCAAGTTGGTAGAGTGTCTGCTTTGTAAGCATGAAGGCATGAGCTCAAACTCGTCCCATCAAAAAATAAATAAATAAAAGTTCTAAAACCAACCAAAGCTGACCATTATGCGCTCCTTTGGGTTCTAACTCAACTTACTTCCTGCCACGACTTAAAAAAAAAAAAAAAAAAAAAAATCCCAGCTCCCTACGGGTGTTCTGAGGCTTTGCTGCCTCCCCCCAGGATTCTCTCTATATCCCCCAAGGTGGGCGAAGTGTCAGTCTCAACACCTGTGGTGATGGGGCTCTCTGTGGTCAAGGCAGTGGCTCTGGGTGTCACTGTTCTCCGGGAGCATTAGTCCCCTTCCTATAAGCACTTTGTGTGTGTTGAGGCTGAACCCACCCAGCTCCCCAAGGGTATACACTGAGCCAAACTATTCTTGAGTTTGGGGCTCCCTGGAAGAGCGCCGGTGGTACATTTGTATAGCTGACACCTTACTCCCTCCTGAATGTCTACAGTTTTCTTTCTTTTCTGAGTGCTGGAAGCCTTGTACATGTTAGAAAAGCGCTCTGCCACTGAGCCACACCCCAGCCCTCATTTAAATGTTTTCACAAGAAAGTGTTGGAAAAACCAAACAGCCAGTCATGGCCTGGTCACAGTGGAGTTTCCGGAACCCTCCAGCTGGCAGCAACAGGTGCAGTCGCCTTGGGCACAAGAGGTCAGAGGCACTTGCTACTCCCAGCTCTGTCCCCAGAAACCCCAGGACCATCTGAGGACTGCTGACCGCGGCTTGCCCCATCCAGGGGACAGCTGGTGTTGAGAGGGCCAGCAGGGAAACAGCTGTGCTCAGCACAGCAGTTCCAGCAGGGGTCTTGTCTTCTCCCACCCACCAGGAAGCTGCAGCTTCAGACCATACCACTGATGGGCCGTCCTGGGGGTCTGGGTCTCGGTGAGATGCTGTGGGGCTCGCCTTCTGCCCCGTCGACCACAGGCCGGCCAAAGATGGCCTCCAGCTCCTTGGCGTCGGGTGGGGGGATGGGGTACCTCCCAATGGACAGCTCCACTAGCGATAGGCCCATGCTCCAGATGTCCGACTGCACCGAGTAGTGGGTGCCCTGCAGCCGCTCTGGCTGTCGGGAGAGACGGGAGTCATTGGACAGTGTATTGCCTGCTCCACCCAGGACTTGGCCAGCCTCTGATGGCTTTGAGAAGTCAAGGCTATGTTTCCTGCTTGCCACAGCATATGTGGGCAAGACTTTGGGACCAGACTCCCAGGGGAACTCAAGCTCCCTAGGGCCCAGAAGTGTAGCACTTCTAGAAGAGAGTGATGGCCCTGGGAAGATAGGGTGCCACTTCTGTCCAAAGCTACCTGCTCAGGACCTGTTCCTGTGTGCCCCACAAGCCCCTGCTCATCCAGTCATTTGCTAAAACCCCTAAGAGTCCAAGCTACTGGCTCAGTTACCCAAGAGCCCCCAGAATAGATGTTCTGACCCACAGAGGGGCAGGCAGGTGTTGCAGAGGCAGAAACTTAAGTGAAAAGAGGGTGGGGAAAAGAACTTCGCCAGAAAGGAGGAGTGAGTGGGAGGCGCTGTGAGGATAGGAGGGAACTTACAGACATGTAGGACCGAGTTCCTACAAAGGAGTTGGCCATGGAGTCGATGAGCTGCCCGCTCACCCCGAAGTCACACAGCTTGATCTCACCTCGGGAGTTGACCAGGATATTGGAGGGCTTCACATCTGAAGGCAGGGTAAGCTGGGGGTAAGGGGCCGCTGGGGGGTAAGGAGCCACACCCACCCAGCTCCAGGAGGCCCTGGGCCCCCTTACCTCGGTGCATTATCTGATGCTTCTCTCGCAGGTACGCCAGGCCCCGGAGCACCTGTTGACCAGGGGAGGATGAGCAGAACAAGACCAGCAGGGGCCCCCCAGCCCTGGGTCAGACCCAAGCAGCCACAACATCTGGGGGGAATGCAATTCCAGGCCACACTAAGCTGGCCAGGGCTACAGCAAGAACAGAGACCAAGCAACAAGGCCCCTCAGATGCAGCCAGGTGCGGCCGTGCCCTCCCCTTGGAGGGACATGGTCCCTAGATCCCAAGTGCCAAGGACCAGGCAGGCTGAACTGGGGTTAAGGGTGCAGTGGGGCTGTGTCACCCAGATGCAGTGCCCTGAATGATGGGTACCTAACAAAACAGGGCATTCAGCGGCGGTGGCACTGATAATGAGTTTGTTCTAAGATGCAGAGTGTAAGGGTGCAGATGCACCATATCTCGTTTGGAAGCTACGTGCTCTGCCAAGTACTCACAGCAGCCAGCACAAGGTGGACATCCAGCATTGTGCTGGGCCGCATGCTGCAGGAACACTGCAGAGACCCTTTGTGTCCCTTGGCCCCCAAAGGCATTTTGGAACAGTGACAAAGATTGTCATCAGAGGTCTATTTCTGCCCCAGATTTTCCCCTTCAACAGGGCCCAAACGCTATGACCTGAGCCCTTGTGGCCAGCAGTGTCTTCCTGGCACAAGATGGAGGGGTCTCTAGAGTGGACAGCAGTCATCCCAGTCAGAGATACTCAATGAGGGCCCAGCTAGGCCTGAGATGGTGGGGGTAGGTAGAGGATTTTAAGAGTCAGGGATGGGCATCACTGTCTCAGGCCTGTAATCCTAGCTACTTGAGAGGCTCAAGTAGACAGGAGGATCAAGGTTCAAAGCCAACCCAGGCAAATAAGTGTGTGAGGCCTGATCTCCAAAATAACCAGAGCAAAATCGACTGATGGAGGTGTGACTGAAATGGTAAAGCACCTGCTTTGCAAGTGCGAAGCCCTGAGTTCAAACCCCAGCCTAGAGTCCCCCTCCCACCCCAAGACGGGAGCAGGAGCCAAGGGACCTGATACCTGCCCTTGGCAAATGGGGACCCAAGACCTCTGAGAGACATCACTTATCAAACTCCTGCAGTCAGTGGAGACAGCTGGAGACTCTCCCTATAGGGACCCCACTAACAACCCCACTGGCTTCAAGTGGCTCCCAACACCCTGGCTGTGAGGAAGGGGCTAGTGTCAGGATGAGTGGCTGCTGAGCCTGGTGGGGAACACTGGGCAGGGGTGAGCGAGACTTACCGCGATGCTGACCTTCCCCAGGATCTCCTCAGGGATCCGCTTGGCTTCTTTCAGCACCTGATCCAGGGAGCCGCCATCCTGGTAGAGGAAAAAGCAGCATACTGATGGGCATCAGGGAAGGATAGGCAGAGTCCCAGACAGAGGCCAGAGCCCACCTGACACATGGGCAAGGTACGGCAAGTCCTCTGCCCCTCTGGCCTTCTGGACCTAGGCCATATACCTCCAGCAGGAAGCATGCTAGCTCCTTCCCAGAATGGCCCATTTTGCCTGTTATGACTCCTGCCTGGGGACACCTGAGTCCCCAAGTCCAGAACCTGAGCAGCTATGGCAAGAACATACCTAGGCCAAGACCCAGCTTCTTAGGCCAGGTTCTATTCTCAGCAAGCTGGCTGCTGCAACACATGGTGGGTAGAGTGGGGACAAGGGGTGACACAGGATGTTTGGGCAGGAGGAAGGAGGTGAGGCAGCCAATCCACATCCCCACCATTATGGCTTTCCTGTGCAAGCCTGGGTGTTGCACTTCTCGGTACTTGCTCCACGCCTGTCCCTGGCCTCCTTCTGGGGTGAGGTGAGGATGGGCGCTGCCCATTCCAAAAGGAATGGCTGGGAAGGGTTCTGGAGCATCTGCACCCCTTTGCTGATGGGGTAAAGTGCTAATCTCCCCTGCCTGTGTTTCCTTGGTGCCCGCATGCTGCTATGTGAGCTATGGCACAGAGGACCATGCCACAGAGGACCTGCAGACCATCACCCCTGGGAGGGTCCCTCTCTAGTCCTGGGCATGGCCCCAAATGCACCTGTCAGATGAGGTAACGCTAAGTGTCTTGCACAAGCTTCCTAGCAACAAACCACAAGACAAGAACCCCAGGAGTTTCCTGCCCAGGTGTCTGTGAGAGGGAAGCTCACCTGGCCAGCCCTGGACTCCAGGTGACATGGCCAAGTTCCGTCTGTGGGCCAAGCTCCTGCTAGGGTCTCTGTGTTTGACAAAGAGGAAACTGGGACCTTGAGTGATGTTGACAGGGAGCTGGAATTTTCCCACATGCTTATGTTTCTCTAGCAACCAAAATGACATGACATCCCAGGGTGTTTCACTTCACCTGGGGGCAGAAGGCAGGGGAGAGGCCCATGGTCTCTGGACACCTGGGTCCTCCCTCTGCCCCACTGTGCTCAGTGAGAAACACCATGAAGAGTTACAAAATCCCCACACACTTGGAAGCTTCCAGAACCCACAGGTGACTCTGGGTAAACGAGCCATGGATATAGGAAACAGGTGGGTAAGGGGTAGATGTGGCCCCAGCCAGGAGACCAGGTGTTCCAGCAAGGTAGTCTGGCCAGGTGGGCAGGGCAGGAGTGGAGTCACTCATAGTCTTCTTGTGTTTTGGGCAGTACGAGGGTTTCTCATACTGGCTAGGAAGGCGATCTACATCCTGAGCTGCTCCACCAGCCCTTTTCTGTGTTGGGTATTTTCAAGATAGGGTCTCACGAACTATTTGCCCAGGGATAGCTTGGAACTGCGATCCTCCTGATCTCTGCCTCCTTAGTAGCTAGGACTACAGGCATGAGTCACCAGAGACCAGCTTGCATTTTGTTTTTATCCATCTTCTTTACAAAGAGAAAACATCCTGGGAGGCGGCCCTGGGCCAGGACTCTCACGAATAAGCGTAAAACACCTCTGAGGGGTGGAAGAGCTGGGGCACATCCCTCTGTGGTGGCATCGTAGACATAATGGAGCATCCCTGGTCTCCACTCACTCCATGCCAGAACAACCACGAATATCCCCGGACATCACTGTCACGGGGGCATGAGTCCCCTGAGTAGGACAGGATGGCCAGAGCCTGGTCAGAGAGCACTGTCCCTGACTCATGGGACAGGATGTTGTACCAGAGACATTAGCACCACACGTCTCTATGACCCTGAATGCCACTCTGCATGTGACTAGACACTTTGATTCTTTGTACTGATGTTGGTCGGGGGGGTGTGTGAATGCACTTGTCTTAAAAGGAAGATAAACCCCATGCTGAGCCCCCAGAGTTCCACTTTACTCCCATAAAGTGTGACTGATACGCATCCAGATCTTTCTGCATGCCTCAGGAAACAGTGTAGACAGATACACCAACATGCACATGGCAAGTGTGTGACCCCCAAACACACACTAATGCTGTGCCTCGAGGTTCTCCTGCTTCCACACACACTCAGGTCTCACTTTCATTCTGCCACTGTGAAGTGGTTAGCACCACTCTAATTCTCCCATATTGATGGTCTGCCTTTTCATTACCATACAACTAGGGCGTATACTATCCAGCATATTGGATCAGACCCCAAGAAATACCCCCAGACCTCTACAGAGTCAGCACACTACTCACCACCATTCTCATTCTCACCCCCTTGCTCCACTGCTTGTAAGGGACCACACCTGAGCCTCCATTCTGTTCCTGAGTTCACCTACCAGGTGAGAGTGAACTGCACCATATTAGTGCAGTATATATGTCCCAGCTTGGTCTGGAGTGTCCCAAAGGCCCACATGGTGGTGGCTTGGTTCTTCCTCCCCCACAGCTTGGTGCTATTGGGAGGTGGAGGTGCTTTTAAGAGGTGGATCCCAATAGGAGGTCTTTAAGTTATTGGGGGCATGCCCTTGAAAGGGGCTGTAGGAGCTTAGTCCCTTTCCCTTCCTCTCTTTTGCTTCTTGGCCATGAGGTGAGAATTCCCATCATTTTCTGGGTCACCACAGAGCTGAAAGCAATGGGGACAATGGATCATGGACTGGGAACTTCAAAACTGTGAACTATAACTAACCTTTCATCTTCACAAAGCTAACAACTGAGTACAGGAGCTCACACTACAATCCCAGCTGCTGGGGAGGTGGAAATCAGGAAGATCAAGGTTCTTTCTTTTGCTCAACCCCAGCAAAAAGTTAGCAATACTCCATCTGAACTAAGCTGGGCATGGTGGTGCATTCCTATCACCCTAGCTGTGCAGAAGCCTTAGGTAGGAGGACTGCAGTCCGAGGCAGGCCTGGGGAAAAATGCAAGACCCTATCTGCAAAATGACTAAAGCAAAAAGGGCCGGGAGTGTGATTCAAGTGATAGAACACCTGCCCAGCAAGTGTGAGGCCTTGAGTTCAAATCTCAGTACTGCCAAAAATCAGAAAAACTAGCATTTAACACTTATTAACTGAAACATCGATCATTGGTTATATTACATATAATGATTATGTTGTGAATAACAAATGTATAATATGATATTGTGATAATATAATATTACTATCACAAAGATAGTAACTAGAGGCCATTTTTGGTAGGCTGGAGCTGGAACCTACCAAATGGGAAGTAAGAGCAATTTGCAACAAGCTTTGTTGGCACCTAAATGAAAAGTCCTTTAGCTCAGGCCCACTCCAGCAGGGCAGGGACACTGTTATGCCTCGATATGGTTTGTGTTCTCCACAACTCATGCTGAAATTTGGTCCTCAGGAAGCAGTATGAGAGGTGGGGGACCTTTCAGTTGGAGTTGTGGGCTCCACTTATGGAGGGACTGGCACCTCTCTCAGGCAGTGGTGGATCCTCCCAGAAGTAGGCTGTCACAAAGCAAGATGTCCTGGTGCCATCTCTCCCACTTGTGCGTGTTGCCTGCCCCCTTCTCTGGGATGACTCACATGAGGATCTCCCCACCAGCAGCCAGGAGATGGACACCATGCTCTTGGACTTCCAGCTGCCATGACTGAGCAGCAAATGCATTTCTCCCCTGTATAAGCCGCCGTCTGTGGTAGTCCCCACACGGCAACTGAGAATGGACTAAGGCAGGTAGCAACCTGGCAGACCCATCCTATTGAAACACTTAAGAAATGAAAGCGATGCAGAAACACGGGGCAGTGGCCCCAGTAGGGCTACAGCTGTCAGCTTCTTAATACTCAGCCAGTACTGGGCACCACCCAAGGCTTGGCCCATCTCATCCTCACGCAGCAGATACTAACACCCCTTGCTGCACAGGATGCTGCTGAAGTCTTGTCCAGGTCCTGCAGTGTGAGCCTGTGGCGAGGCTGAGACCCAACCCCAGGGCTCAGCCTCTGTAGCCTTCCTGAGGAGGAAGCAGACCATGTTCTGTGTGGAACCCTCTGCATGTGCCTCAGCAGCCAAGGCACATGCACAGGCAAGGTGTGACTGCATCCCCAGGGTATGCCACTCTGCTCGGTGGCCTTCCTCACAGGTCATTCCCTTGCCCAGGAATACTTTGCTTCACAACCAACAGTCTCTGCACTGCTGGTTTTTTATCTTAAACCTACCAGCAGGGAGCAAGTGTGTGGGGGGCACCTGAGTGAGCCTGTGTGTGTATTGTGCAGGTGCACAAGTCTCTGGTTCCCACGTTTGTTGGTGCCGTGCCCAGGGAGGAGACTCATGGCTCCTCCGTGGCTAGGGGCCGCTCTGGGAACCCCTGAGTTAAGTTCACTAACGCCCAGGGTGGGGGCAGGATGTGAGGCTCCCTCTTCCTGCAGGGGAAGCTGGAGGCCAGAGAGGCCACCTTGCTAGGGAAGGACAGGCCAAGGGTGTTGCTGGCCATAGCATTTTCTCTCCCTTCCCCTCTTTGATAAATCTCACACACACTAGGTCTTGGAGGGACTGGCACGCCACCCCCAGGTGAGGAAGGGGCTCCTGCCAGGGATGTCTTGCTTGGACACCTCGGCAAAGTGGAGCTCTTGCTCAAATTTACTTCCTGCCTCTGTTGCAAACTGTCATGCACAGCATAACAGATCCAACATGCTGACAACCATGCCACAGCCTGGTTTTGCAAGGGGGGACCTGCCAAGGGTGGCTGGTACCTATTGTGGCCCGGGGGCACTTCCTTCCACACCCTCAACTCCGACCACTTCTGCTTTCTTCACTCCATCCTGCCCACCTCTGAGCTTCAGAACCAGGGTGTCCGACCCAGGGGTGGTTGGATCAACCATGACACCTTACACAAACAGATACATGGGTCCCATCAGAGACTGGGGTCCAGATGAGGGCTGAGCTGTGGGCCTGGCCACTGCCTGCACAGCTCCTCAGTCACATGCTCCGTGGTGTGCTTGACCACATGCAAAGACATGCGGTGAAGGACAATGGCAGTATGTGCCAAGTGGCCCCATAGGCAAAGGCACACAGGACACCACACGAGGGTAGAGTAGAGGACAGTGCTTGCTACTGACAGGGCATGGCTTCCAAAGAGAAGCTGCCAAGAGGCTGTGCCCCAGAACAGGCCTCCTGCTCCCCAGGAAGCCTCGCCCAGGGCTCTGCCTGCTCACCATGTGCTCCATGCAGATGCTGATCTCGCCATCACTGTAGAAGGCCCCGTAGAAGCCCACGATGTATGGGGAGTTACACTCGTGCAGCACCTGCAGCTCTCGGATGATCTGGTTCCGGATGGCTGGCTTGATCTCCAGGTGGATCAGCTGCAATGGGGTGGGGAGACCAGGCGGCTTAGGGGAGCCAGAAAATGGGGAGGTGAGGAGGGGGCTTATGGTCCTTGTACCCAAAGGTGTTCACAACAGCATTCAAGACAGCCAGGCCACCCCACACCACATTCCTTGGTGTGCCCAAGAGAAAGGAAGCCACCTACACACGCAGTACTTCGTCCACGAAAGCACATGGCATCACCACTCACAACAGTCCAAAGGCGCAACAGCCACACATCAATGGGTGAGCACAGGTGCATGGCGTGCTCCATCCACATCACAAGCGAGAACATCACACAGCATGGAAAGGACCAGGCTCCAGCACAGGCTACGGTGTGAAGAGAACTTGGGGATGTGCTCAGTGAGAAAGGCAGACACACAAGGCTACACAGCATGAGGCTCCACTGATAGAAATGTCCAGAAAAGGTGAAGCCACAGACAGGAAATAGACTTGTGGGGGCCAGGGGTGGGTGATAACTGCTCATGGGTGTCTTTTAGTGATGAAAATCGTCTAAAATTGATTGTGATAATAGATACACGCCCTGTGAATATTTTTTTTGGTGCGGGGGGGAACACTGCCGAAAAAATTCAGGTGTTCACAAAGCAAGAGCTCTATCATTTGAGCCACGCCTCCAGTACATGGCTCTGGTTATTTTGGAGATGGGGTCCTGAGAACTATTTGTCTGGGGTGGCCTCGAACAGAGATCCTCCTGATTTCAGCCTCCCAAAAGTAACTAGGATTATAGGTATAAGCCACTGGCACCTGGCAACACTGTGAATATTCTAAAAAAGAAAAGCCATTAAATTATATGCACTTTGAAAAAGTTGCATTAGGGGCTAGGGATGCAGTTCAGTGGTGAAATGTTTGCCTGGCATGTACAAGGCCCTGGGTTTGATCCCCAGTACCTTCAAGCTAGTTTAAAAAAATAAAAAAAAGGGCAACTGATGAAACATTTTCACTTTGGTATGGCACCTCCCAAACATTACACCTGGATCAGGTGGGACCTTTCCTTCTTCCTCACGGGGGAAGCAACTGCCGCACCTGTGCCCTTCGGATGGGTGAATAGGTCCAGAGCCTGTTCTTCCTCCATAAGAGACCTAGGCAAGAGGCTGGCCATCCAAGGCTAGTGCTGGAGGGAGGTGGCACTTTTCAAAAACAGCTTCAATCATGGCTCAAGTGGTAGAGCATCTGCCCTTGAAGCCAAGTTCAAACCCCAGTACCAGCAACAACAAAAATTTCCTCACATTCCAGAGGAAGCCCAAAGGAGGCACTCAAAAGAGGCAGAAATGTGCGCTAAGGCACCATGAGCAGCCCTCACCACAAAACCCAATGGGCTCTGAACTTAGGGGCCCAGTGTTCTGTGTCATCACAGGAGATGTGCCGGAAGCAGATGGGCACCTGAAAGCAATCACTATCAACTCAGCAAACACAGAAAAAGGAGCAGTGAAGGGCTTGCTTGGAGGAGTCAAGTCAGCAACAGAGACTCAGGTCAAACCTCACTGTGGAGGCCAGGCAGGGGGAGGGGAATCAACATAGGCAGCTGAGAAGGTGACATTGGGGCTGGGCCTCAAAGGAGATCACCTTTAGGAGTAGACAAAGGAGGAGGTGGAGGAGGTGGGGGAGGCAGGGACAAAGAGCTGCGTGTTGGAGGGCACCAGGGCCTGAAGGAACCCGTGAGAATTCAGGGGCAGTGAGAGGCTGGCAGTGGTTCCTACCCAGAGTACATGTAAGGCATACCTATGACCTTGAGAACCAGAGAAGTGTATGTGTGGGGGGAGTCCAGGACCCTGGCATGGCCCAGCTAAACCCACGCACTTTCTGCATCTCTCTGCTGATCACTTTTTCATTCAACCTGGGCTGTAGAGCCCTGTGGTGGCCATGGGGCCTGGACTTGACACTCCAGCCACAGCCACCCCAGTAGGCCAGAGGACCACTGTGGAACCCCATGATGCTCCCTCTTCCCGGAACCATCTCTGTGAGGGCAACAGTGCCTGCCCACACACTCCAGAGGGTCTGACTACCAGCCACTGGTAACAGTGCCAAAGTCCATTCCCAAAGGCAAGGAGGGCACGAGGAGTGCTGGCAACCCAGGGCAGCTGTCCAAGGAAATACAACTCCAGTGCATGCTCAACCATAAGCCATCTAGGCGCTACTGCAGAAAACAAAAAGGGAGAAATGACCTTTACACACACAGGCTGAACATCCCCAATCTGAAAACCTGGAGTGCTCCAAAACCCGCTTTTCTTTGTTTCTCGGTGCTGGGGAAGGAACCCAGGACTTTGTGCACACGACTCCTAGTCCCTCCTGAAACTTTCTGAGCACCAAACAGTTTAAGAGTTTGGAGCATTTCAGGTTTCTGATTTTCAGATTAGGGATAATTTATAAATCCTACACAAAAATACTGAAATTTGGAATGCTGTGTTTTTTTTTGTGGTACCACGGTTTGAACTCAGGGCTTTGCACTAGCTAGCCCTGAGTGCTACCATTTGAGCCAGCCAAACATCCAGTCCCTTTTGCTTTTGTTCTGGACCGGCCTAGACCAAATCCTCCTATTGGGGCTTCCCAAATGGCACACTGCACCCAGCTTTTATTGGTTGAGATGGGATCTTGTGAAGTTGTTGAGAGAGCTTGCCTCCAATTGTGATCCTGCTGATCGCCATCTTCCCAGTAGCAAGGATTACAGGCATGAGCCACTGTACCTGGCAGTTTGTCTGTTTTGAAGTCAGATTCTTGCTAGGTTGCCCAGAACTTGAACTTGCAATCCTGCCTCCGCCTCCAAAGTGCTGGGATGATAGATCCCTGCTCGCCCAGGGCCCCACCTGTGTTTCTCTCAAGTGGGTGAATGTAAGAAACACCGCTTTGACAATGTAATCCATGTAAAGACTAACGTGACTGTTCTGCATGCCACACCCGTCAGTAGGGCTGACTGCATTTGAAGAGCACGGTGGCCCTGTCTGAATGGGAGCTGTCCCAGGGCCACCCAGCCCTGTCCCAGAACCTCCAAAGAACTGGCAGGAATGAGGAGCAGAGAGGGACAGCATATGGTTTCCCAGAAGAGAAGTGGCTGCAGAAGACTTGGCAAGATTGGCTGGGATCCGGGAATTTGGGACCCAGGAGCCCTGCACAGGAAAGACACAGGGCAGGCAGCTTCTGATGGGCTGCCTCCTCTGCTGTGACGGCTGGGCCATTGGCTTGCAGGGCAGGCCTTTCACACTGTAGGGAAGCTGCCACTGGGACTGTACTAGAAAGGAAGACAGGGCAGCGTTTGTGAGCCCATGATGACAGCTGGGGTGCCAGGTTGCTGTTCCCATTCTACTGGTTGGGAAGCTCAGGTTTGGGGGTGTTAAGGCGAGTTCCTAATGGCCTCACTGCCCAGAAGGGAAGTCAGGATCGGTGGCCTCACCAGATGCCAGAGCCTGTGCTAGTTCCACATCCTGGCCCCGGGGTATGAGGCTGACAGATGCTTAAATACGAATGGTGCTGGGATTCAAGCCCCAGGCCTTGGCCGAGCTGAGGAGGGAGAGCCTTTGTCAGGACCATGCCAGGGATACAACCAGGATAAGAGCAGAAAGGACCACCACCAGGCTGTCACCCGCTGGAGTGCTCTAGAACAATCTCAGCCACCTCTTTCTCTTTTGAAGACCAACAGCTCAGGCGCTGGGTTTGGCCGGCCCAGTGTGTGGCCCTCTCCGTGTTTTCTCACGGTTTGCATTAGCTGTTGTCAAGACTCTGGCAATACTGCATGGCCACTGTTGGCTGGCGCTGATAGAAAGTGCTCTTCTGAGGACATAATTTGCTCCTGTGATTAGAGCAGGCCCTGCAGGGGTCTATGTGAAGGCAGCCACTTGAGGAAGGCATGGTGATGGAGTCTGAGGACCCACACTCACAGCAGGAAACCAGTGGTGCTGCAGGAGAGTGGACTCTAAGGCTAAGCCCAACAGCTCCCAAAGAGGAGCCACAGTGAAGGGGCAGCTGAGGGGGCCTAGACCCAGTCCAGCCCCAGTCCCAGCCTAGCCTGTTTCTTCACCTGTGCAACAGAGCTGTCGCTCAATTTAAATGAGAGCACGATTAGCTCCCAGCTGTAATCCCAGCTACTCTAGAAGCAGAGGTGGAGGGGACTGCTGTTCAAGGCCAACACAGGCCAAAAGCTAGAGAGACTCCCCCCCAATCTCAACAAATAAGCCAGGCATGGTGGTATACACCTGTAATCCCAGCTACACAGGAGGTAAATATAGGAGGATCAAAGTCCAGGCTGTCCCTAGCAAAAAGCACACAATTCTATCTGAAAAATAAAGCAAAAATGACTGGCAGGGTGGTTCGAGTGGCAGAGCACCTGCCTAGCAAGCACAAGGCCCTGAGTTCAAACCCCAGTACTGCCAAAAAATTAATAAATAAATCTATAAGTAAAAAATGCATCTGCACCAGCTTTGACATAGGGCAATTCTTGCAAGAGGGCAGCCCAGTGACCACTCTTCTAGAAGAGAACTAAGCCAGTGTGAAGGAACACAAATGCAAGGCCAGAAACCAATTTTCAGAACCCGAGCTCTCAGAGGCGCTGGAGGGATCAGAAGGTCGTGCTCAGGGGAGGAAGTCATTTACACTACACATGAACATGGCTGGAAAACTTGAGCTGGTGGCTTTCTGGGCTCAGTTTTCTGGTCTGATCTTTAGCTTCCCTGGCGTGCCACACTGGCCAGGATCCTCCTAATACACCAAATGAGCAGGGATGGCAGCTGCAGAGTGAGCTCTGTGCAGGCCCGGAGGAAGCCAAGAGCAACCCCACAACCACAGGCGCTCTGCACTTGCAGATACCCACTCCTGGGACACCAGGGTCTGTTGGCCACAGTGCCCTGCAGAGGATGCAGAGGTCCTGGGTTCCCACCACTACAAGGCACATTGGGGGCTGCCTGGAAGATTCCTGGCTGGCTGGAGAGCAGGCCCTGGTCCCCTCACACAGTCCTCTGGGTCCTGCCATGGCCCTCGGAATCACAGGTCAGCGCTTCAGGCAAGGCAGGCCCAAGGTTCCCAGGGCTGCTGTGGTTTTGAGAAGACTGCCTGTAGGAAGGGGACGGAAACAGAAGCCCTTGGCTGTGGATTTTGAAGGAGGCGCTCTAGAGGCGAGAATTAACTGCAGCGCTAAATTTTGACAGAAACCAGGAAGGCAAGTCCCACAAGCAGGGATGCATGGCACCTTCCAAAACCACAAGGTGGGGGTGAGGGCTCAGGACACTGGTCTTCCAGGAAGTGGTGGCTTTCACACAGAAAGAACACCAGAGCCCAGTGATCTGTTTAGGAGCCAATCTCCACAAATGACCACCCCCTTCACCTCCACTCCTTACACCTCCCAAGACCCTCGTCTAATACTGAGCACAGGGCTGCGTCATGGCACAGTGTTCCAGGATCAGGGAGTGGGTGAGAAGTCCAGCAGCAGAGCACCTGGAATCCCACTGAGGGAAGATGGTGAAGTTCATGTGTCCCAGGTGTTTGCTTATACACCAGCCTAGAAATTTTTAGATCTGATGAACAATAAAATCAGTAGACTAAGTACAACAGATGACTCTGTAAATGTGGGTGGGTATCGTCTAATCAGTTGAAGGCTGGAAGAAAAGTGACTGTGATCCTCAGGAAGGGGGAATTCTGACTCCAGATGAGCTTCAGAGTTGAGTGGAAACATCACTCTTCCCTAGGGATCCAGTCTGCCAGCCTGCCCTGCAGATTCCAGAGTCACCAGACCCCACAGTCACGTGAACCACCTCTTTCAAATAAATTTCTCCAAGCTGTGCATGGTGTGCACACTTAAGATCCTAGTACTTGAGAGGCTAAAGCAAGAGGGTCATGAGTCATGAGTTCCTGGCCAGCTGCTCATATAGTGAGTTCGAAGTCAGCATGGATTCTACTGTGAGACTCTCATATTAAAAAAATAGGGCTGGAATGCAGCTCAGCTCAGCTCAGAGATTCAGCACTTGTACATGCAAGAGACCCTGGGTTCCAACCCCAGAACTGCCTAAATAAATAAAAACATACATAAATAAATAATAAAACCCCTACACACACACACACACACACACACACACACACACACACACACACACACACACACCCAGCACTATTTCTCTGGGAGACTCATGACTGGCTGATGATCATAGCTGAATATTTCTGAAACTTTTTTTTTTTTTTTTTTTGTGGTACTGGGGCTTGAACTCAGGGCCTTCACCTTGAGCCACTCCACAGTCCTGTTATTGTGAAGGGTTTTTTTTTCAGGATAGGGTCTCAAGAACTATTTGCCCGGGCTGGCTTCGAACAGCAACCCTCCTGAGTAGCTGGGATTACAAGCACCCAACTATTCTGAAACTTTTAACCCATCCTCAGCCAGCAGTCCACAGTTCACAACACTTCTGGGAATTTCTGTGTGCGTGGTGTTGGGGATGAACCCAGGACCTGACACTTGCTAAACAAGCACTTACCATTGAGCCGTACCCTCAGACACAGAATCTGAATTTGAAACATCCTCAAGGGGCTAGCAGAGCAGCTCAAATGATAGAGCACCTGCCTAGCAAGCATTAGGCCCTGAGTTCAAACCCCAGTACTGCCCAAAAAAAAAAAAAAGTCCTTAAGGGCAAAGGCCAGCCATGAAGGGGAGAGCTGGGTGTGGCAGCAGTACTAGTACTGCTAAGATGCAGCTAGAAGCGACTCTTTCCGGGGATCTAGGGGCACTGGAGGTAGCCAATTGGAGAGCACAGACTGGCCACCTTTCAATCCTCTCTGTGCTTTCCAGGAACCCTCCCCTCCCACATACACAGACTGCAGAATACAGGGACAGGATACCCACCACACTCCTGGCCTCTGCTTACCTTCCTGGCCATGATGAGGCCCGATGGTCTGTGCTGGACCTTGGTGACCACCCCGCCATTGCCGGCTCCCAGTTCTGAGATCCTTTCGAAGTCGTCATCCTTGAGCTCGCCGACCTTGGCCTTCTGGGTGAGGAAGGCCTCCAGCCGCTTCTTCTGCTGCTCATCCAGGTCCAATTCCTCTAGCTTCTTCTGCAGGTCTACCAGGTTTGCCCTGTGGGGACCCCAAGGGCAAGGGTCAGCAAGGGACCCATGAGATACTGAAGACTAACTTTGATAGCTATCTAGGACGCAGAGGCGACGTGGACCTGATGCCTGCACTTTGGGCTCCATGTAGGAGGAAAGCGAGACATATGTGTTTCCCCCTTGGACACAAGCTGCCAGAACAAGAGGCCTGATCTACAGAGGGCCTTGTCTCAATCCCTGCTCACAAACGTTAGGAGAGCTTGGGGACCCAGCTCGGAGGCTCAGAGCCCTCCAGGCCACATCAGAGGGAAAAGGAGGTGGTGGCCAGGTAAGCAAAGGCCTGAGTCAGGGCAATGGAGCCAGTTTTGAGTGGCTCCAGAGCAAAGAATGGAAAGCCAGGGGCAGAAGACAGACAGTGCATCATAAGTGCATTGAAGGGTTGGCAGGGTGGCTCAGCACCTGCCTAGCAAGTGTGAGGCCCTGAGTTCAAACCCCAATGCCACATCCCCCCCACAAAAAAGTACATTTAAGTTATGTGAATTAATAATTCATTGCCACTGGAGGGGGAGGAGAAGGGGTGCAGAATCTGAACAAAGCAGACAACTCGGCCACTGCACACAAGCAGCAAGCTTCTATGCCTCCTGACCACTCCTGTGACCGCCAGGCTTCCATGAGCGCCCAGCTCCCGGACTTGGTTATTACAGGACCAACAATGCTTGTCGCACTTTATTGGATAAACTCAAGGAATCTGCAAAGGGCACTTTGACAATTAGCAATACTCATGAATGCCTTGACTTTGCCCCTGACCCTGGAACAGAAAGCAGCTCCCTGCAGCAGGAAGATAGTTTAGCTTAATGCACACGAGAACATAACACCGTCCAGGAGAAACATGCACAGTATCTGAAATTTCCTAGTGATGGGGTGCAGCTCAGTGGTGGAGTGCTTGGCTAGCATGCATGAGGCCCTCGGTTTCACCCCCAGCACCACAAAAATAAAAAATAAAATAGGACCATGTTTAAAAAAAAAAAAAGGAAAGCAAGGGGCATTAATTTTAATATTCTATTTGATTTAACCCATCAAAAATATTCAGGCACCAGTGGCTCAGGCCTGTAATCTTGGCTACTCAAGAAGCAGAGATCAGGAGGATTGAGGTTGGAAGCCAGCTCAGGCAAATAGTCCACAAGACCCTATCTACTACCAAAATAAAAAAATAACATATTATACACAAATATATAAAATCATTTGCAGCCGGGTGTAGTGACTCACGCCTGGAGTCTCAACAGTTCCAGGCTAGCCAAGGCTACACAGCAAGACTTCATCTCATTAAAAAGAAATAAATAAAAATCATGATCATTTTCAAACTGCAATTAATACAAAACCATTAACGGGTGTTCATTTCACATGTTTTCATATCAAGGCTTTGCAATCCAGAGTGTACGCATCATGCTTACAGCTCCTAGACCTCAGACATGTCGCACTGTAGGGACTGGCTACGGTCAGGAGCTACTGCACAGGCAGTGAGACTCTAAGTAAAAGTCTCTCAAGGAAAATGGGCTGCCTACAGCAGTCTTAGTCACACATTTCAAAAGGCTGACAGACCTTGAGAGGATTCCAGCTGGGGATGATGGGGGCATCTGGGTGTCCCATTAGGAACCATCTTTCCTGAGTTCCGCCATTACTTATCTATGCCTTAAAAAAGCCTGGGCCATGGTGCACACAGGCTGGAGTTAAGGTGACCCTCTGCTTGGTGATACCACCTGAGCTAGTGCTGCACAGAGCATGCGAGAAGGAAGGTGCTGGGCACCACACGTCATCCTCATCATCACCTGGGGAGGTGAGAGGAGCAGGCGGGGGACCTCCTGGAGGTGAGTAAGAAGGTGCTTCCTGCAGATCTGCTGAAGAAAGACCCAGATGATATAATGGCAAGATACTGATGGGAAACAGAGAGTTAGCGAGAACAAAGAAATGAAGTAAGGCAGGGAAGGAATGAACCACTTATTCACCGTGGGGCTGCAGAGGCAGCTCAGGGCCACTCCACCAGGTCTGGGGTATTGACTACCCTATCTATGACTTCTCTAGTGCACCCTAGAGTCACCTGTCAACCTGACTTATATGTCATGGAAACTCTAATGGCGGAAATTAAGGGTCATGTCTGGATGGTGCCCTCTGCCACCATCCAGGTTGAGGGCAATAGATCACCAAACATGCCATATGCCCTCCCTACCTTGTTGTCATGGGCTCCACCATCAACACCCAGCCAGAGTGCAAACAGGAGTGGTCACTGGCATGATCTCAAAAGGGTGCCCCCAACACTCAGAGCCATTCCCCTGGCAATTCTGTCACCCAGAAAATCAAGCACCCCACCACCGGAATGCTCCCTTCTCTGTCCCCTTCTCCTATCTCCCCAAAATCCCCCCCCAACCCAAGAACTCCTGTCACCCTAAATGGCCTCAGTCTTCTGCCACTCCCTGGAGACATCTCCTTCAGAATCTGCTCTGGGGGTTCCAACAGCACCTCCAGCAGATCCCAACACCACTCCACCCTCCCCCCCCCAGCTTCCCAGCCTCTTCAAACTGTCAAAGAATCCTCACTACTCACCCCAGCTTCAGGGGTCTGCACCCCCTCACCCCAACCAAAAGAATCTTCCCTTTAGGTGGAGACTCCTCATCCTGACCCATCAGGGACCCTCCTTTACTGTGGTTTCACTACTTGGGGCACCCCCACCCACCTTTTCCCCTACAAGGGTCTCTGCACCACCCTCTCCTCTCTGGGACCATCCACCCGGTATAATCCCTTCAGGGAGCTCCTCTTCCACTCTCTCATTCTCAGGGACCTCCTACCTGGTCCTGTCCCCTCAGGCATCCCCAGAACTCTGGCTTTGCTACTGAGGGACACTATTCAGGGGCCACTCACTCCATTCTGTCCACTCAGGTGCCCCCCTTATCTCCATCTCATCATTCACAGACCCCTCATCCCATTCTTCCCCCTAGAAACCCTTTCTGAATGCACTTCTCCCAGGACACCCCCCCGCAATACACACACCCAATGTAATTATTCAGGGACTCTCACCCTGTCCCCTCTCCCCAGGGGCACCGCCCTCACCCAATCTATTACTAGGGGACCCCTCACCATGTCCTGCCCTCTCAAGGACCCCTCATCCTGTCCTCTCCTTCCATGGACACCACCATCACCCAATCTCAGATTGGGTTTACTGAGGCACCCTCACCCTGTCCTTTCCTCCTAGGGACGCCCATCACCTCATCAGGTGCCTTAACCTGTCCTCTCCCAGGGACACCGCCCTGACCCAATCCTGCCCTCCCAAGGACCCTTCGCGGCCTGTCCTTTCCTCCCGAGGACCCCCACCACCCTGATCTCGCCTCTCAGGGACCCTCACACATCCTCCCAGAGGGTCCCGGCCTACCCAGGCCCACTCACTCGGAGGCGCCCTCGCTGGTAGGAGATGGGCCCTCGGCGATGGCGGGGTTGATGGTGAGCGCCGGCAGCACCGGCTTCCTCCGGGCCAGCATCGGGGCTCCGCGGGCCGGCAGCGGCGGCGCCTCTAGCCGGGGCCCATAGGGGGCGGGCCGCGAGCGGGCGGCGCCGACGCGAGCCCGGGGCTGCGACCGCGGCCTAGATTGGCGCCGGGGCGGCCAGGGGCGTGCGGGCCAGGGCCTGCGACCCCGAGGGGCGCCGGGTATAAGGCAAGTGCCGGCGCCGCAGCCACGGAGGCGGGAACGAGGCTGACACCGCAGCCGGACCCCGGAGGCCGAGGGAGGAGAGGGGGCGGCCACGAGATCACGCGCCAGACTCTCGCGAGCGCTAGCGACGCGAGACGCGTCGGGCCCCGCCTCTCAGCCGCAGCCTGTGCGTAGCAGCTCGAGCCGGCCTCCCGAGGGCGAAAGGGGCGGAGTCGAACTCGAGGCGGTGTCCAGAGCGTGCGCACTAGCTCGCCTTTGAGCCGGGCGGTTGCGCATGCGTCTGGGGCTCAGGGCAGGAGGGAAGCGAGATGCCTGGTGATGAACGTGGACAGGTGGGCAGGGGAGGGGCCAGACTACCGAGCTTGGGGGTGACAGGGGCCAGGACTGGGTAAGCCAAGAAAACCCCCACACGTATGCGAGACCCGCCAGATTCAAATTATCCTTTGCCAAATACGGACACACACACACACACACCATCTTCTCCAAATATCAATAGCTCATTTTTCCATGAGAGAAAGATCACGTTAGAAAAATTTTAAATTTTTAGTTTTGACTATTGAAGTTGCATATAACTATCCTGTGTACAATAGCTTTTTTTTTTTTTTTGCGGTACTGGGGTTTGAACTCAGAGCCTTCACCTTGAGCTACTCCATCAGTCCTTTTTTGGGATAGGTTTTTTTCGAGATAGGATATCTCAAACCGCAATCCTCCTGATCTCTGCCTTCTGAATAGTTAGGATTACAGGTGTGAGCCACTGGTGCCTGGCTTAGAAAATTCGACCTTTTTTTTTTTTTTTTTTTTTTATTGGTGGGGTTTATACTCAGGGCTTCATGCTTGCAGGCACTCTACCACTTGAGCCATGCCTCCAGTCCATTTTGCTCAGATTATATTGGAGATAGGGTCTCAAGAACTATTTGTCTGGACTGGCCTCAAATTGTGATCCTCCCAATCTCAGTCTCCCAAGTAGCTAGGATTATAGGCGTGAGCAACCTGAGGCTGGCTCCCTAGGTTAAACTTCTTGAGGACCCACCTTACTGTTTGCCACTGCATCTGTACCTTTATAGGGGAAAGGTCACTTTAATACTAAAAGGAGAAAAGAAAACTCATGACATAGAATAAAGGTCAGTCATGTAGAACATTTCATTATCCAGGTGTGGTGGCTCAGATATGCAATCCCAGTACTCGGAAGGCAGAGGCAGAAGGATCACAAGTTCAAGGACAGCTCAGGCTACATAGCTAGCCCTTCTCTCAAGAACCTAAAGACAGGCCTGGCACCAGTGGCTCACGCCTAAATCTCAGCTACTCAGAAGGCAGAGATCAGGAGGATCGCGGTTTGAAGCCATCCCAGGCAAATAGTTCTCAAGACCCTATCTTAAAAAACTCATCACAAAAAAGAGCTGGTGGAGTGGCTCAAGGTGTAGGCCCTGAGTTCAAACCCCAGTACTGCAAAAAACAAACTAAAGACCGGGATGTGGCTCAGTGGTGTCTCTTGCCTAGTATGCACAGACCCTGGGAGCACACAGCACCACAAAAATAAATAAAGCACTGCTTTGCTTTGCTTTTTGTCATATTTCTGTGCTTCTAGGTGCACCTATGGAAATCATGGGAAGGAAGGCAGGGACTCCAGGGTACAGTGGCTCATGCTCTCTGGCTTGCCTGGCGTGGCCCTGCCCACTCTCCTTCCAGCAGGCCTTAAGTTATTTGTTTTAATAAGTGTGCAATGCCCTTTATGGGTCAGATTCTGGGCTGGGCAGTAGATACACAAAGTTTTAAAAAGCTACAAGGCCAGGCATGGTGGAGCATGTCTATAAACCCAGCTACTTGATAGGAGGAACAAGAGGCCAGCCCTGGCAAAGTTAGCATAAGACCCTATGTGAAAAAGAAAGCAAAAGCAATAGGACTTATGGAGTGGTTCAAGTGGCCCCGAGTTCAGATACAATATGTACATATACATAAATATAAAATTGCAAAGTGTAATTATGCAATTGTACTCCAAAACATGTACAGCTCTTCCTGATTAAAGTTGTTCCTAGAGGAGCCAGGTGTTTTCCTTCTGGGCCTTTGAAGCTTTCTGTCTTATAGGTCTGCCCACCCACCCACCCATAATTCAATCCTGGGGTCTCAAATATAGCCAGGCCCTCTCTGACCTCAGATGTGTCACCTCCTTTTTTCCTTGCTGCTGACTGGCCACTCCCTCATTTTATCTTATTTTATCTTTGGCTCTCTGTAATCTTTATTGAGCTATAACTTCCATATAATAATGCAGTGTTCTTGAAGGTTCGATTCTCTGAGCTTTTTACAATTGCCTACACCCACGTAACCATTCTCCTCACTGGGGAAAGTTTCTTCTCTATCTTTTCAGTTAGTCCTTACCTCTGTCCCCAACGGACAGTGGTCTGCTAGTAAATGTTTAACAATGAACTTTTATTTCATTTATTTATTTTTGAGCCATACTGGGGTTTGAACTCTGGGCCTTGCATTTCCTAGGCAAGCCAGATACCACTTGAGCCACACACCTGAACTTTTTTACTTCAAGTATTTTTCAGATAGGCTCTCGTGTTTTTACCCCAGCCAACCTAGGACTGTAATTCTCCTGCTTACCCTGCTGAGTAGCTGGGACTACAGGCCTGTGCTACCATATCTAGCTTATTAATTAAGGTAGGGGTATCACTAACTTTTTGCCCAGGCTGTCCTTGAACCACAACCCTTTAATGTCCCCCTTCCAAGTAGCTGAGATGACACATGGAAGCCACCAGCTTTTCCATAAAGCCACTCTGATCCCCAGAGGTTGCTGTACTAGCTTCCTGGAGTTCCGGACACACCTTGTTTCTAATTGTCACGGGGTTTCTCTTTCATTCTGATTCATATTATTAGGTCTTTCCTGCTAGAGATGACCTTTTGGAGGAAGATGTTGGATTTGTGTTCTTCTTTCTTGGTCCAGCTCTGGGGTACGGCAGAAGCTTGATTCACATCTGTATGTAGAAGACAGGGACTGGGAATTCTTGCCCACAAGGAGACGGTGCTGATCATCTGATTCCTAGCATTTATATCAAAGAGAAACTTTTATAGCTGGAGTCACAGGGCACCCCACACCCCCACCCGCCCCTATCTTTACCACTCAGCACACCCCCTCCCCACCTTTTCCTGCCACAAACCTTTCCATTTATCACTGGTTTCAATAACATTTTTCTTAGTACATCTGTCCCTGTTCCAGACGCTTGGGTGTCTCCCAAGTTGCTTTTCTCAGGAAATCAATTTCCAATTACTTTCTTGATAGATTCAATCCAAAGTGACATGTATCTTGTTTAGGCACAAGCGACTATCAATGTCACTGCCATCCATTGTTCGTATCTGGAAAGGGACTTTGAACTTTAGTTTACGTACCTGGGCGTTGGATTATCTCAAGGGAAGGGCTGATGCCAATACTTTATATATTTTTGCTAGTGTGTGCTACTGCAGTTTGAACTCAGGGCCTTCACCTTGAGCCACTCCACCAGCCCTTTTTTCTGCATTTTTATAAGATAGGGTGTCTCAAACTATTTGCCCTGTCTGGCTTGAACTGCAATCCTTCTGATCTGTCTCCTGAGTAGCTAGGACTACAGGTGTGAGCCACTGACGCCCAGCCTTTTTTTGTTCCTTATTAATATTTATTATTAATTTTGTGGTGCTGGGGATGGATCCCAGGGCCTCTCACATATTAGGCAAGTGCTAACCACTGAGACACACCACTGTCTCATTTTGTCCTGTCCTGAATACTGTGCCACCCAGCAAGTGTATGCCTGGATTAACCTCACAGGGAAAGGCAGTCCTGGGAACAATCAGAATACTCGTGGAACAGTTTTCTCAATGTACACACTCAGAAGGCACGCTCCTGATGGTGGCTGGGAGAGTGAGGCAGTCCTCTAGGATAGTCCCACAGGAAAGATCACACAGGACTAATCGCCACTGTGGCTCAGAGGAGGGCGCTTGCCTAGCATGAGTGAGCATGTGTTCCAAACCCAGCACTACAAAAAATAAATAAAGAGCCAGGCGCCAGTGGCTCACACCTGTAATCCTAGCTACTTGGGAGGCAGAGGTAAGAAGGATTGAGGTTCAAAGCCAGCCCTGGCAAATAGATCCCCAGACTCCCATCCCCAAAATAAGCACAGTAAAATGGGAGTGTGGCTAAGTGGAAAGTATCTGCTTTGCAAGTGCAAAGCCCTGAGTTCAAATCCTACTCCCACCAAAAATTAAATAAATAATAGATAAAAAAGCAAACACTAAGTGGTAAATTAAAAAAGATTATTCACCCCTGCCCTCTTTATCCCCATAGTAAACGTCTACCTTCATAGACAAAGAAGCAATAAACAACAAAAGATTATCTAGCATGAAACTAAAAAATAACATAAGAGTCTGAGAAGCTTGTGTTACATAGAAATCTCTCTATGACACCATTTTTTCCTATTTATCATCTTTTTTATTTATTTTTATTTTTTATTAGTATAAATCAGTTGTTCAAAGGGTGTTTTTGGTTTTTGTTTTGTGGCACTGGGGTTTGAACTCAGGGTCTCCCACTTGCTAGGCAGGTGCTGTACCACTTGAGCCACTCCACCAGCCCTGTTTTGTTATGAGTTTTTTCAAAATAAAATCTCACGGACTATTTGCCTGGGCTGGCTTCGAACTGCAATCCTCCTGATCTCTGCCTCCTGAGTAGCTAGGATTACAGGTGTGAGCTACTGATGCCTCCCTCAAAGGGGTTTCATTGTGAGATTTTCATATATGGATATAATGTACTTTCATTACATTCACTTCCTCTGTTACTCTTTCTTAACCCCTTTCTCCTCCCACTCAATGACACCATTTCTATTAAATGGAAATTACTTAGCATTATTAGTCATTGGGGAAATGCAAATTAAAACCACCAGGAGGGCCTGGTGTGGTGGTGGGCACTTGTAGTCCCAACTTCTGGGTTGATTTCAAGGCCAGTTCATTTCCAGTCTAGGAAATGAGCAAGACACTTGCTCAAACAAACAAACAGAAACTACCTGGGCTCGTGGCTCAAGTGGTAGAGCACCTGCCTAGCAAGTGCAAGGCCCTGAGTTCAAACCCCATGCTGCCAAT